TGCAAAGCCATCCACAATGTCATGCACATTACCCAGAGTCATGATTCTTCTGAGCAGGATGCGATTAATGGCCCTGCAAACTTGCATCAACACGATTCCAACGGTTGACTTTCCCACTCCAAACTGGTTAGCCACCAGTAGCTGGTACACCACTGGTAGCTGTGTGGAGTTGCTAGCTTCCAAATTGCAATAGCCACCTGCTTCTCCACCCTCAGGGCAGCTCTCAATCTTGTGTCCTTGCGCTGCAGGGTGGGGGCGAACTCCTCACACAGTCCAATGAAAGTGGCTTTTCTCATCCGAAAGTTCTGCAGCCACTCCTATTCATCCCAGACTTGCATGACGATATGATCCCACCACTCAGTGCTTTTTTCCCAAGCCCAAAAGCGGCATTCCACGGCGGTGAGCACATCCGTGAATGCCACAGGCAAACTCATGTCATATGTGTTACTTGAGTCAATATCCTCGTTGGAGCCCTCACTGTCACTTTGGATCATAAGGAATAACTCGACTGCCAAACGTGACATGCTGGCGAGACTCGCCAGCATGTCACTCCTCAGCAGTTCAGGTTCCATTCCCGCAGACCGAAAGGGAAGACAACAAAAAACGTTGAAAGATGGCGCCAAATGTAGACGGAAGCACAAGGATTGCTGGGATGCGAACCGATGTATCACAGGGCATTGGGACAGGACCCAGAATGCCCCCCGCCCCCTTCCCATAAGCCACAGCGACAGAATGGGAAGAGGTGCTCTGTGGGATAACTGCCCATAATGCACCGCTCCCAATGCCACTGCAAATGTGGCCACGCCAGTGCGCTTGCAGCTGTCAGTGTGGACAGACTGCAGTGCTTTCCCTCTGTGCTCTCCGAAGGTGGGTTTAACGCCCAGCGCTCTACACCTGCAAGTGTAGCCATGCCCTAGGTAAAGGGGCACTCCATTTGTTCTCTGACTTGTCCTGTGGTCTGTTTTAGAAATGACATCCCCTCTGGAAGCCCACAACCTACAGCTCTCTTCAGATCTAATTGTAGTTACTATCTTAAGACCACATAATGTTCAGATATCCAGGGTTTGAGCCAACTGTACACTGGCACTTCTGAAGACTAGAATCTGAGCTGTTTTCAAATTGCAGTAGTGCCATAGTTGCTGAGTGCAATTTTAAGGAACTGTTTACTCTGTAAACACTTTACATAGGTGTTTATATTCAGTAAACTTTTTACGTTCCTAGGTAGATAGTACATATCCACTCCAAACTGTGTGTTTTGGTGTAAGAATGCATTTATGGCAGTCACTAAAACCAAACAAGCTGCTTTTTGTGCTCTTATCCGCTAGAGTTGTGAACATGTCTTTATAATCAGTACTCTGAGCTAGTTTGATATGGCTTGATAGGCCTCTAAATAGTATGAATAAAACCCACAGTGTCCCCTCCTATGTTTGGGAATTGGATCCAGATTCACCAGTTTTCCCAACTGCCCTGTGGGACGCTGCCTTCTTGGCTGGTATGTTGAGTCCATTATGGGCACTTGCCATATGGCTGCTAACAGGAATTGATATACAAGCTATATATAAGCGCGTAGGTGGCGAGCTATGAGAGCCTGTCGTGCCCTTGCTCCACCAAAATTCAGGAATGTGGGCCCGGCTCCACCAATGTTTGGGTTTATATTTTCAGAGCCATCCTGTCATAGAATCATAGAATATCCAGGTTGGAAGGGACCTCAGGAAGTCATCTAGTCCAACCCCCTGCTCAAAGCAGGACCAATCCCCAACTAAATCATCCCAGCCAGGGCTTTGTCAAGCCTGACCTTAAAAACTTCTAAGGAAGGAGATTCTACCACCTCCCTAGGTAACGCATTCCAGTGTTTCACCACCCTCCTAGTGAAAGTTTTTCTTAATATCCAACCTAAACCTCCCCCACTGCAACTTGAGACCATTACTCCTTGTCCTGTCATCCGCTACCTCAGAGAATAGTCTAGAACCATCCTCTTTGGAACCACCTCTCAGGTAGTTGAAAGCAGCTATCAAATCCCCCCTCATTCTTCTCTTCTGCAGACTAAACAATCCCAGTTCCCTCAGCCTCTCCTCAGAAGTCATGTATTCCAGACCCCTAATCATTTTTGTTGCCCTTCGCTGGATTCTCTCCAATTTCTCCACATCCTTCTTGTAGTGTGGGGCCCAAAACTGGACACAGTACTCCAGATGAGGCCTCACCAATGTCGAATAGAGGGGAACGATCACGTCCCTCGATCTGCTGGCTATGCCCCTACTTATACATCCCAAAATGCCATTGGCCTTCTTGGCAACAAGGGCACACTGCTGACTCATATCCAGCTTCTCGTCCACTGTCACCCCTAGGTCCTTTTCCGCAGAACTGCTGCCTAGCCATTCGGTCCCTAGTCTGTAGCTGTGCATTGGATTCTTCCATCCTAAGTGCAGGACCCTGCACTTATCCTTGTTGAACCTCATCGGATTTCTTTTGGCCCAATCCTCCAATTTGTCTAGGTCCCTCTGTATCCTATCCCTCCCTGCCACCATATCTACCACTCCTCCTAGTTTAGTATCATCTGCAAATTTGCTGAGAGTGCAATCCACACCATCCTCCAGATCATTTATGAAGATATTGAACAAAACCGGCCCCAGGACCAACCCTTGGGGCACTCCACTTGATACCGGCTGCCAACTACACATGGAGCCATTGATCACTACCCGTTGAGCCCGACAATCTAGCCAACTTTCTACCCACCTTATAGTGCATTCATCCAGCCCATACTTCTTTAACTTGCTGACAAGAATACTGTGGGAGACTGTGTCAAAAGCTTTGCTAAAGTCAAGAAACAATACATCCACTGCTTTCCCTTCATCCACAGAACCAGTAATCTCATCATAGAAGGCGATTAGATTAGTCAGGCATGACCTTCCCTTGGTGAATCCATGCTGACTGTTCCTGATCACTTTCCTCTCGTGTAAGTGCTTCAGGAGAGATTCCTTGAGGACCTGCTCCATGATTTTTCCGGGGACTGAGGTGAGGCTGACTGGCCTGTAGTTCCCAGGATCCTCCTTCTTCCCTTTTTTAAAGATTGGCACTACATTAGCCTTTTTCCAGTCATCCGGGACTTCCCCCGTTTGCCACGAGTTTTCAAAGATAATGACCAATGGCTCTGCAATCACAGCCGCCAATTCCTTTAGCACTTTCGGATGCAACGCATCCGGCCCCATGGACTTGTGCACGTCCAGCTTTTCTAAATAGTCCCTAACCACCTCTGTCTCCACAGAGGGCTGGCCACCTACCCCCCATGCTGTGTTGCCCAGCGCAGCAGTCTGGGAGCTGACCTTGTTCGTGAAGACAGAGGCAAAGAAAGCATTGAGTACATTAGCTTTTTCCACATCCTCTGTCACTAGGTTGCCTCCCTCATTCAGTAAGGGGCCCACGCTTTCCTTGGCTTTCTTCTTGTTGCCAACATACCTGAAGAAACCCTTCTTGTTACTCTTAATATATCTTGCTAGCTGCAGCTCCAGGTGCGATTTGGCCCTCCTGATTTCATTCCTACATGCCCGAGCAATATTTTTATACTCTTCCCTGGTCATCTGTCCAATCTTCCACTTCTTGTAAGCTTCTTTTTTATGTTTAAGATCCGCAAGGATTTCACCGTTAAGCCAAGCTGGTCGCCTGCCATATTTACTATTCTTTCGACACATCGGGATGGTTTGTCCCTGTAACCTCAATAGGGATTCCTTGAAATACAGCCAGCTCTCCTGGACTCCTTTCCCCCTCATGTTATTCCCCCAGGGGATCCTACCCATCAGCTCCCTGATGGAGTCGAAGTCTGCTTTCCTGAAGTCCAGGGTCCGTATTCTGCTGCTCTCCTTTCTTCCCTGTGTCAGGATCCTGAACTCGACCAACTCATGGTCACTGCCTCCTAGATTCCCATCCACTTTTGCTTCCCCTACTAATTCTTCCCGGTTTGTGAGCAGCAGGTCAAGAAAAGCTCCCCCCCAGTTGGCTCCTCCAGCACTTGCACTGGGAAATTGGGCATCCACCCTGGGCTCCACACTTCAGGGGATCCTGCACTTCAGGGGGATGCAGGCTCCAGGGCGGCCTGGGGTGTTAGCAGGGGGCCTGGTGCCAGCAGCAGCAAGCAACCTGGGCCTGCTCCACTCCCGCCCTGCCTCTTCCCGGCCCTGCTCTGTCCCCTCCCCTCCCCATTCTACCCCACGTCCCCTCCCCGCCTCTTTCCGGTTTCCGTCCCCTCCCCCAAACGACACTGGAAGCTGGCTGGGCTGGGGCCAGGTCACTCACTGCTGCTGGCACCAGGCTCCCCGCTAGCCCCCCAGGCCGCCCTGGATCCCACATGCCCCTGAAGCACAGGGCCTGGGTTGGTTTCCCCGGTCTGTCCGAGGGACAGGATGGCTCTGCTTGGACCTGTTCTGGGCATGACCAAAAATTATACAAACCTGGTACCTATGCATAAGAGGATGTTATACAGACTGACCTTTTTGGAAGTCTAACTTGACTGAAACTCAAGCTGTAATTATCAGTCAGTTTCAGCCATGGAGATGTCCAGAGCTTGAATCATGATTTAACAAAGGTGACTTGAAGTGGAGTGGAGTTGATAAGAGGATTGACTGCGTGCAGTGTAGTGAGTCTTGTAGGTTGTGCTCAGGCGAATTTCTAAGTTTATAACCCTTATAAAACATGAGGAGTCCAACTGGATCCTTGTTTTGGAATATTCCTTTGCCATTTCTATTGTGGCAAAAGTTGCAGTATTTCAACTTTTATGCATCTGTACTGAATAACCAGGAGACCTTGGTAAGTAGATTTGATGGTTATTGACAGAGCTGAGCTGAGACAATCAAACTTCTGTTGGAGCATATTTTGACTTAAAACATTATCTTTGAACCTGCTATATTTGAAACAACTAAACCATATTTAATTTCTGGCTTTTCTGTCCATGTATGATGCACAATGCCCATGACACTACATGTTCTTGAGGTGTTTTTTGTTTTCACCAGACTGTAGAACATGGATTTCCTCACCAGCCCAGTGCATTGGGATATAGCCCCTCTCTCCATCTTATGGCTATCGGGACCAGATCAGGAGCCATCAAACTGTATCCTTTCTACACATGTGATTTAGAACTTGCAGTGTCAGACTGGATTCTCAGATTGTCTGGAGTTTTATCCCACAAACAAAGCAAAGAACCTCACCCAGTAACCTCAGTAACCCTTCTGTTTGAGCTCTAGCACTGCTTTTAGAGAGATGGTTAATTACTCTTGCTTAATTTTTCACCTTATTTTTGTCTGTAGTGGAATATATGATCTTCAGAAATGAGCAAAGTACATGGAACATGTTTTCTTGTTTTCCCTTATCCAGTTTTATATGTAATTGTGTTCATATAAAGCATTTAACATTTGTATGTATTATATGGAAGCAGTAAAAGCGGGTGAAGTGATCTGATTCCTTTTAGAGAGAGAAGATGGGTGAGGTAATATCTTTTATTGGTCAGACCTGAAGATGAGCTCTGTGTAAACTCAAAAGCTTGTCTCTCTCACCGACAGAAGTTGGCCCAATAAAAGATATTCCCTCGCCCACCTTGCCTCTCTAATATCCTGGGACCAACATGGTTACAATAAGAAAAGGAGTACTTGTGGCACCTTAGAGACTAACCAATTTATTTGAGCATGAGCTTTCGTGAGCTACAGCTCACTTCATCAGATGTATACCGTGGAAACTGCAGCAGACTTTATATATACACAGAGAATATGAAACAATACCTCCTCCCACCCCACTGTCCTGCTGGTAATAGCTTATCTAAAGTGATCAACAGGTGGGCCATTTCCAGCACAAATCCAAGTTTTCTCACCCTCCACCCCCCCACACAAATTCACTCTCCTGCTGGTGCTAGCCCATCCAAAGTGACAACTCTTTACATAATCAAGTCGGGCTATTTCTTGCATAAATCCAGGTTTTCTCACATCCCCCCCACCCCCATACACACACAAACTCACTCTCCTGCTGGTAATAGCTCATCTAAACTGACCACTCTCCAAGTTTAAATTTAGAATTTAAAATTTAAATTTAAAATTTAGAATTTAAATTTAGAACAACGCTTCCTCAGCTCTCGTCCCCTAAAGCCCCTACTCTACTTGCGCTATATTGATGACATCTTCATCATCTGGACCCATGGAAAAGAAGCCCTTGAGGAATTCCACCATGATTTCAACAATTTCCATCCCACCACCAACCTCAGCCTGGTCCAGTCCACACAAGAGATCCACTTCCTGGACACTACAGTGCTAATAAACAATGGCCACATAAACACCACCCTATACCGGAAACCTACTGACCGCTATTCCTACCTGCATGCCTCCAGCTTTCACCCTGACCACACCACACGATCCATCGTCTACAGCCAAGCTCTGCGATACAACCGCATTTGCTCCAACCCCTCAGACAGAGACAAACACCTACAAGATCTCTGTCAAGCTTTCTTACAACTACAATACCCACCTGCAGAAGTAAAGAAACAGATTGATAGAGCCAGAAGAGTTCCCAGAAGTTACCTACTACAGGACAGGCCTAACAAAGAAAATAACAGAACGCCACTAGCGGTCACCTTCAGCCCCCAACTAAAACCCCTCCAACGCATTATTAAGGATCTACAACCTATCCTAAAGGATGACCCAACACTCTCACAAGTCTTGGGAGACAGGCCAGTCCTTGCCTACAGACAGCCCCGTAACCTGAAGCAAATACTCACCAACAACCACATACCACACAACAGAACCACTAACCCAGGAACTTATCCTTGCAACAAAGCCCGTTGCCAATTGTGCCCACATATCTATTCAGGGGACACCATCACAGGGCCTAATAACATCAGCCACACTATCAGAGGCTCGTTCACCTGCACATCCACCAATGTGATATATGCCATCATGTGCCAGCAATGCCCCTCTGCCATGTACATTGGTCAAACTGGACAGTCTCTACGTAAAAGAATAAATGGACACAAATCAGATGTCAAGAATTATAACATTCATAAACCAGTCGGAGAACACTTCAATCTCTCTGGTCACGCAATCACAGACATGAAGGTCGCTATCTTAAAACAAAAAAACTTCAAATCCAGACTCCAGCGAGAAACTGCTGAATTGGAATTCATTTGCAAATTGGATACTATTAATTTAGGCTTAAATAGAGACTGGGAGTGGCTAAGTCATTATGCAAGGTAGCCTGTTTCCTCTTGTTTTTTCCTACCCCCCCCCCCCCCAGATGTTCTGGTTTAACTTGGATTTAAACTTGGAGAGTGGTCAGTTTAGATGAGCTATTACCAGCAGGAGAGTGAGTTTGTGTGTGTATGGGGGTGGAGGATGTGAGAAAACCTGGATTTATGCAGGAAATAGCCCGACTTGATTATGTAAAGAGTTGTCACTTTGGATGGGCTAGCACCAGCAGGAGAGTGAATTTGTGTGGGGGGGTGGAGGGTGAGAAAACCTGGATTTGTGCTGGAAATGGCCCACCTGTTGATCACTTTAGATAAGCTATTACCAGCAGGACAGTGGGGTGGGAGGAGGTATTGTTTCATATTCTCTGTGTATATATAAAGTCTGCTGCAGTTTCCACGGTATACATCTGATGAAGTGAGCTGTAGCTCACGAAAGCTCATGCTCAAATAAATTGGTTAGTCTCTAAGGTGCCACAAGTACTCCTTTTCTTTTTGCGAATACAGACTAACACGGCTGTTCCTCTGAAACCTGTCATGGTTACAATAACACTGCATACAACAAATTCCTTTTAGCAAGTAAGATCGTATGTGGAGGATCAGACTAGATGAGCATAATGATCCTTTCTGGCCTTAAAACCAAATTGTCCCTTATTGTAAGCTCCCAGGCTATCTTAATACTGTAAAGTGGGAGAGGGAGACTATTTTTTTTAATGAATACCATCTCAAAGGTTGAAGTTTGCCATGAAGACGTTCTGCTTCCTGGATTAAAGTCCCCTAATGTTGGGCCAGAAGTAAAACTGTTGAAGGCAGTTGTTTGTCCAGTCCCAGGATAGCGTGTATTGTGTATACACAAAGGCATTGAGAGGCGGTTCCCATGACACAAGGCCAGCTGAGTTTGGAATGAAAGAGGCGTTCACTCCAACCCAGAAAGGAAAAGTTAGAGCTGTCTGCTTGCTTAATCATTTCCAGCACTGTTTGTGTTCAGAGAGGCTGAGCTCTGCAGGAAGGCGTTAGCTATCTGTCTCCTGGTTACAGATTGGTTAAGCAGGGATTGAAGTGTGTGGGAAACCACTAACAACCTTTAGAGAAAGCAGGATGCAGCCACCCTTTCTACATCTCCTCCAAACTACCAAATAAAAACTCCTGAACTTGCTTTCCATTGTTGTGTGCACACTAAACTTGAACTAGGCATGTATGGATTCAAAGGAATCTATGATCACCACTGATTCCACTTGGTTTCTAACTAAATCTCATCTCATTTGCTAGCAACTGCTCCTCAGGTGATTGTAGCTGTGGGTGATCTTTAATACTGTTGATCCTCAACAAACATTTCAGATATGGTGCTCCTGGGGTGGAGTTTATGGGTTTACATGAAGAGAATAATACCGTCATGCAGATACACTTTATTCCTGGCCAGGTGAGTGGAATTCATATACCTCAGTTACTGTGTGTGTGTGAGCACCTTTGAAAACCCATTGACTTGGAAATGGAGGATGGATGGACTCACCTCCAAGCCCTGAGTTCTAGAATCCTTTTGGGCTGTGTAATGTCTGTGTCCTAGAAATGCTGGGTCTGTGACAGGCCTCCGCAGTGTTGTTCGTTGTGCTGTAAATTGCACCCATTGTCGTGAAGATGTTAGTCATAAACATAGAGAGAGCACCTTTAATTGAGCTCAGAAAGTACCTGGTGGTAGTGGCAACAGGATTAGGATAAAGAAAAGGAGTACTTGTGGCACCTTAGAGACTAACCAGTTTGAGCATAAGCTTTCGTGAGCTACAGCTCACGTCATCGGATGCACTGCATCCAATGAAGTGAGCTGTAGCTCACGAAAGCTTATGCTCAAATAAACTGGTTAGTCTCTAAGGTGCCACAAGTACTCCTTATCTTTTTGCGAATACAGACTAACACGGCTGTTACTCTGAAACCTGTCAGGATTAGGATAGTTGCTGTTGCAAGAGGCTGTCTGAAAGGGCTTCCTTTTGTATTGCAACCTGCATTCCTGTAGTGGTGGAGCCCTTTTCCTCTGTGCTATGTAGTGCTCGCCAGGTGACACAGCAGCTGCTGTTCAGCAGGTTTCATCATTCTTTGGCCTGACATGCTTTGGCTAACCTAGCCACTTTTAAGCTTCCTTCCTTTGCTCTTGCATAGTATGGCTTCACCACTAACTAAAAATGGGAAGATAAAATTCCCCAGATGCCTGTTGGCTTTCTAACTGCCTTCCTCCCCGTTCCCCTCCCTCCCCCCGCCCGCAACCTGACTAATTAGTAGACCAGCGTGCCACAAGTACTCCTTTTCTTTTTACTGTCTGACTCACCCATTTGGGGAGAGCAGTGTTGTATTATGAGAGGGTGTGAATTCTCTAGATAGTAAACCACGCAAAATTTAATGGTATAAACTGAAACTCCCATGGGGGAGTATTGCATGTTGTACCAGGTGTGGCTTCAGCAGGCAAAAAATGCTTCATTTGAATTACAACTGGCAGGGCTGGGCTCATAAAAGGAGTCTGTGGCACCACCCTCGAGAATGAAGTTGGACGCAAAGAATGCAGGATGAGTGGTGAAGTGGAATACACCAGCAACTCCCAAAGCAGGGGTGTGGAGGGGTGTGTACCCACCTCAGCAAACCATGAAGGAAGTAAATACTGTGTGCTAGCTACAACATAGCTCTCTGAAATAGGTAGCAGAGTGTGGGATTTACCAATTGATGAAAGTGCAGCTAATATTGCATCCTTCAGAGGATCAGACCCTCATCCCTCCCTGCTGGTATATTGGATAAGAAGCAGACGACAAATGCTTTTAAGCCTGCAGGCCATTCTGTGTAGTCCCGAAGTCCCTTACTGCCTGAGTCAGCAGAATTCTGCTGAATATAACTGTGTAAGCCCGCTGCTCTGTGCGACCGGTTCCTGAATCCTGGATTAACTGAGGTAATCCCCGAACAGCAGTGGTTTATTGCTTGACTTAGTATACTGCTTTTAAATAGTTGCTTTCTTTATGATCATGTCTCCTGATTTTAGTGCCAGCTGGTGACACTGCTGGATGATAACAGCTTGCATCTCTGGAGCCTGAAGCAGCATAGTGGGGCATCTGAGCTGCAGGAGGAGCAAAGCTTCACACTTCGGGGGCCTCCTGGGTATTGTGCTCTAATATTGCTCTTTCTCTCCTTCCTGTGCCACCCACACAGCAGTTTATGAAGTGCACTCTGACATGGCTTAGTTCACAGTGCCCTGATTTAGGGCCCAATCCACCTTTCGACTGAAGTCAATAGGAGGGGTGTTTTCCATTGGTGTCAACAGGATTTGAATGAGGCCTCATCTGAATACAAAGGTGCACCAATTTAAAGGCCTATTTTTAAAATACATTTAGTTTAAATCTGTGCAACTCTGTATACTCACTCAAATCAATTTAAACCTGACATATATGTTGAGCTTACCCCTGTAACTACTCTTACATCAGTAAGCGTGTCCACAGATTTAACTAAATCATTTAAACCACAGTTTAAAATATTCCAGTATTTCTAGTTTAACTTTTTCCAGTTTCTGGACAACTTATTTATTTCTGCTCCTGTGGGTAGTTAGATGAGTTTCCCCTTAATAGTGACTAACACACACCGCTCTCTATCAATGCATTTCTGGATTATTTTTAGGTTTATTTTAAAGCTGGTGTTCTGCTTCCAAAAAAACCAAGATCCTGGCTCAAAGCTCCATTTGTCCAGCAAAATGCTTACTGAATCTCTTGCAAATGGCTTATGGGTAAAGCAGGGGTCAGCTTTCATCTGAGGCTCTATGGAGCTGTTTAAATGAATACCGTAGCTGCTTCTCTCTAGAACTGATCTCCTTCACAGGCAGTTAACTGGTTTCTTTTTGCATTCACAGATCTCCTCCAAGTGCCACCCAGATTACGGTTGTCCTTCCACATTCATCACGGGAAGTTCTGTACCTTGGCACTGAGAGTGGCAATGTCTTTGTGGTAGAGCTCCCGTCCTTCAGACTGTTAGAGGATAGGACCATCACCTCTGAGGCAGTGCTGCAGCGGTGAGCAAACGGGTATATTGACCAATGGGATTGGTCATGTATAGACATGACAGAAGGGAAAAGTTTGTGTGTTGCACTTAACCAATTTTTTATTCCAGTTTGTACACTGGAGCCTAACTTATATTAAATGTTACAGGCTGCAAATGTTGGATGGTGTTGGAGAGACAAATCCTTACTCTGGGCCCTAGTTTGTCTGCGTTATACAGATGGTATTCTCTGGACAGGAATAACCCAAGACAGTTATAGCAGAGGTGCTGTAGAACATTGCAGAACTATTTAGGGGAAGCATGCAGTAGGTCTGCAAATGCTGTGCCTGTCTCATCTAGTGCTCAGTCCCTCATGATTAAGGGTACAATTTTGTCATGGATATTTTTAGTAAAAGTCATGGACCGGTCATGGGCAATAAACAAAAATTCACAGAAGCCATGACCTGTCCCTGACTTTTAGTAAAAACATTCCTGACAAAATGAGGAGGCAGGAGGGTCCGGCACCCTGTCCCGTTGCATGCAGTGGCTGGGAGCTGTGGCCCCCCAACTCCTGCAAGGGGTGAGGAGCTGCGGGGGGATCCCCTGCCATCAGCAGCGGCTGGGAGCTTGGGGGGGAGGGAGGGGAGATCCTCCACTGCCCTGTGAGGCTGGGGAGTGCCAGGGTCCCCCAGCCACTGCTGCAGTGCTCCAATGTCATGGATTCTGTCACTTCTGCAACCTCAGTGACATAATTGTACCCTTACTCATGATTATGTATCCAAGTCTCGCCAACAAATATTAAATTAATTTAAGGTTCCAGAATGTTTAACAAGGCATTTAATTTTTTATATGGGCGATGGGCAAAGTTGCTACCTCTTTGCTATGTCTACAGAAACTCAGGGTAACGTTTTCAAAAATGCCCAAGGTTCCTATGGTGCTTTGGATGCTTTAGAAAATTTTGCCCTGATTCCTTATGTACCTGTAACCTTTTGAGGTGGGAGTCTCACCAAAAAACACATTTTGTGGAATGCGTTGCTTCCAGTGCTGGCTGTAAGCACAAACGGTTGGCAACAGGCTCGTGTCAGCTTCATCCCACTGCCTGTGGCTCTCCTCTCCACTCTTTCCCTGCCCTTGTCAGTGGGACTGGAGAGGGAGATAGCTCACATCCTTTCTACTCCCCGCTTTGTGGGCTTCCTGCTGTAGATTTCATCACAGGCATCTGATTTCCCCTTCTGATGGTGGGACTGGGCAAGGAGGTCCTCTCTTTTAGAGTCTCCACAGTAGTTTCCTTGCTTAATGCCCTGCAAATCGTAAGGATCTTGGCTGAGTTTTAAAAGATGCCATGCTTGTTCTCACCCTTCTAAGAGTTTCACCTTCCCTGTCCTTCCCAGCATGTTTCTCTCCCATACTTACGCTGTCAATGTGGCTGTCATAGGCAGGTGCACGTGGATTAATTTTTCTCCGCATTTTGCCCAGGGTGCCAGAAGACTATCGTAACAGGCGGTCGTTTGAATTGGTTGAAGCCTTACGGGAGCATCCCAGGAACCCTGGCCAGATTCTGATTGGATACAGCAGGGGCCTCATTGTCCTCTGGGACGTGCATAACAAAAGAGTGTCGCACCACTTCCTGGGCAGTCAGGTATTAATGAGGGCTGAAATCATTGGGCATGAGCAAGGTGAGCCCCCCTCTCTCCAGGGTTCTCTGAAGAAATAGATCCAGGAGGTACAGGGAGAGCCAACTCCGTTATTTCGCTCTTATGAATGTATATTCCGGTTCTAGAAGGGTTAAAGATTCTCTGGATGTCGGTCATTCTGTGTCTCTTCCTCCCTAGCAACTGGAGAACCTCTTTTGGCAGAAGGATGGCCGTCAAATCATTAGCTGCCATTATGATGGAAGTTATGCCCAGTGGCCAGTATCCAATGATAACAGGCAGCCTGAGCCCCTGGAAAGCAAAGTGCCTTATGGTCAGTATATGTGTGATAGAAACAAACTGCTTCTGTGCTGAGGCTTAAACTGCTTTTGTTGAACTGCTCTTAAATTCAAAGTCGCTTCAAGCCCCTCTGGGATCTCGGAGACAAGCTCTCCCCTGGTGTGTAGTCATGGCAGCGCAATGCAGAGCTGTTGCCCCAATGGGCATTAAACATCTTAACTCAAAGGGGTCTCTTAAATCCAGTTTGCTTTGGCTTTGAACTCTGCTGAAGTAAGGATGTCTAACTGAATGTCTGTACTGAGCATAGATGAGCAGGAGGTAAAAATCTGCGTACAGAAGCATAGCTCACATGATTGGGAAAGGAGCTAGGGATTCAGTTTTATTCCTTGTTCTGAGTCAGGTGTCCAGCTTGTTGCCGGCACGCAGTGCCAAGAGGCAAAACAACAGCAGGGGTTCGTTACCCGGTGTGCTTCACTCAATAATTACAACGGGGTGGAGAAGCAGAAAAGTTTATTTGAAGCTTCAAAAAGGTACAGGGAGACTAGAATCTCAAATCCTGTACCCAGAGCAGGAAGTTACACAGGCTTTTATACATATATACATTTATACTTATGTAATAGCAAGCTGCCCTAAGTATCCATATAGCCAGCCAATCCAGTTACCAGCTAGTTGAATTTCTTCTCTGGTCTGTTACTTCAGTGCTAAAGAGGAAGTGATGCCTCTTGTTGGCTGAAACTCCTCAAAAGAGGATGACTTCTTCCTTTTGCCATATGGAGGCCTCCATATTGGCCTGATCTGGCCTTTAGAGCTTACTATCACCCCTGCGTTAACCAGAAGAGAGTGCTGGAAATTGAGGCACTTCTAGTTAATGCAGAGGTGATAGTAACCAGAACTGCATTACTGACAGCAGTACAAGTCAGCTACCCTTTGGCCTTAGCCTTCTTCGCACTGAATAATACTACGAGAAATGGCATCTCCTAGAGAAAGTACTGCTTCTCTGAGTTCAGCACAGTGAGGTGCCACTGCTCCACATACTATTCAGCTTGTGTGGCCCTACCATGTATTTGGCACTTTTGTCACTATTAAGCAGAATAATTAAAAAGGGCCTTCAATTTCCACTCTGCTTCCCCTTGCTAGAAATATGAACGCCACCTAATGGAAGATGCATCTTACAATTGTGGTAACTTTGTAAATCTGTCATCCTAGGTCCTTTCCCTTGCAAGGCCATTTCCAAGATTTATTGGCAGACGACAAAGAATGGGTAGGTTCTCGTTTATTCATTTCCCTCCCACCTACTGTTTACAAGAGATGCTTAAGATAATAAAGGGGTTGGGGGTGGGGAAGCACAAGTTTTCTTGTAATCCGTTGCTGACTACACTGGTCTCTCACATGTAGCCCCTTTTGAGTAACACTGTAGGGAGCCTTTGTCAAACATTGGGGCCTTAAACTTTCTCAGTTAATAAGTTTTTGGTGAAATAGATGGACTCTAAAGAGAGCACAAACGTTGTGTGTCTTTGTTTTTAAGGCTACCTTACATTATATTCCAAGGAGGGATGCCCCGGGCTAGCTATGGTGACCGGCACAGTATCTCTGTCATCCATGGCAGCCAGCAGACTGCCTTTGACTTTACATCGCGGGTGATAGACTTCTTTGTCATCTGCAATGCAGATCCTGCTGCAGGTATGTGTTGACAAGGTGCCCCTTCTCTTCTGAAGAGTCAGGGGCAGCCTGGAGTTGCTCTATGGGTGGAGATTCTGGACATGACAAGTAGCAGCTTAGATGCAAAGCACTGTTTTGCTTGTGTTGGGTTGTTTTGTATCATTTTAACTGTCTCAAGATGCAATTTATAAGTGAAGTGTGAAATACTGGCAGCAGTGATGGATCAGCTATAAACTTCGTAAGCACCCACTAAAACCCACTTGTTGTATTATTGTTCACGCTCTTATCAGCTCATGGAAACAGAGCAAGGCTGGACATGGAGCATGATTAAGTTACAAGATCCAGTTCTGAATATTTCTATTAAGAGACAGCGCGTCAAAGGGGACTGTAATTAAAAAAAACAATCTCAGACTGGGAGTGAGTAGCTTTCTTAATTAGTGTCTGGGTTTATGACATGAGGCTCCATGTAGCATATGAACAAAGGGTAAGGTTACAACTAAGGGTCGGTATACAAAGCATTTTATTAATTCTCTGCTGGCCAACACAAATGTTTACATTTTTTAATACAGCTTAGAAATGACTCAATCGTATTTGTTCCACCAGCTCCCGATCAGCATGTCCCATAGCTTCTCCTTTTCCTGCTAGCAATGTGGAGCCTTTGCTACCTAAGTTTGCAATACCTGGAATCACTTCCTCTCTTTATCCATCAGATCTGAATGTGTCAATGATCCAGCCCCCACCTGACTCTTTTTTTTTTTTCCCCAAAACCTTTTTGGTTCTCCTGCCCATTTCACTATTGCTACTGATCTCGCCTTCAGAACAGATGTCAACTTAGTTATTTTAAGTTACAGAAATACACTGTTTAAAAAAAAATAAAAATGGTTGAGTGAATTGCAGAACTAAGTGCCTCGGGGGTTCTGTGAGCAACTCTCTCCTGTCATGTGCTATTTAGCCTTGCTAGGTTTTTCAGTTTATGGTGGTCTATAATACGGAGAAGACTTCCAGTTTTAATAGATAGATGTCTTGGAGAAGCAGACATCTAGTTTGGAAACTAAACACTGTAGCTGTTTCCATGGCTTTAAAGGATTTTTTTCAGTTGGACTTTAATTGCTTCTTTATGATGAAAGCAGGAAAGATGTTTGTCACTATAACCTTGTTGACACTAACTACCTATTGCAGATAAGGTTACAGTGTCTTCTAGGATAGACAAGACCTGAATTTCTTATTTTAAAAGACAAGCTTTCAGTCCTCCTTTATACATCCTATAGAAGCACATGAGCCAATTTTTTTTAACCTTGCAAGTGTCGGCTCTGAGATGCTGACAAGAGAATATATTTGAAGTTGGAATAATCAGAGTTTTATGATCACACTTGACACTTCTAAACACAATTCCTGGATGTGAATTAAGAGGCTTTAGCCTGAAATAACTACAAGCTACCAAGCTTGTACTGCCCAAGAATTGAGCAATCCAGTTTGCCTGTGTTTCTAATGTGTGCATGCAGGAGCTGTTAGAGGAAGCTGTAGCTGCAGCACTTCAGACCAGGAAGTTATTTACAACTAAATGTCGTGTCTGTGGTCAGCAAGCTTCCTTGTGGCTGAGTGCCTAATACTAGTGGATCTGCCCAGCTCACCTTACGTGCCCCTTAGAGTGTTCTTCATGATGGAAGTAGCGAGGGGTGGCTATATCCCAAAGCCACTTGAATGAATGAGTGTGAAGCTTGTGTATAGCAGCATGATTCTAGAAGGCAGCTCTTTCCCTTCCCCATCTTCAGACTGAGAATACTTTTAAAAAAATAAACATGCAGATTGGATATTCCTGTTTGTTTCCAGCTGTTAGTGGGTGGATGGATGGGAGACACATGCGTTACACACTATTGCCTGTACTGTTAGACTGTGCATCTACAGTGTACTGTCCATACTATTAATGCTGTACCAAGGTGCAGTGCCCACTATATTTATATAGTGCTTATAGCTGCATGGTGCTCTATGGATGTACAAGAGACTGGGTCGTTGCCCTGCAGAGTTTATCTCAATTAGGCACAGTGAAGGACAGCAGATTGAGGAGCAAAATAACAAAACACTTAGTTCTTTTAGCTATATCGTATCCCCACCACCACTTTATATATGGAGAAACTGAGTCACAGAAGTGACTAGACTAGGGTTGTTCAGCAGGCCAGAGCCAGAAGTACAACCCAGATCACCTGACTCCTAACCCAGTGTGAGGTAGAGAAATAATGCACTTAAAGCAAATATTAATACACTGAGTATCTTGTAGGGTTTGTTTAGGAGATTTTGTTACTTGTGAGTCTTATACTTCAGATGGTCAGACAAGTGAGCAGGAGGTGAATTAATGGTGGAAAACTAATCCAAATAGGGTTGTGAGCAGAGAGATGGCCAAGGAGAGCTGTTTGGGGTATGATAAGTGGGCTGCGTTGATGTGAATGCAGCTGTGTTCACTTTGTTAGATTTTCCACTAAAATAAAGTGCACTTATGTAGTTTTTATATGATGCTCTTTAAAGAGCTGAAAAACCTGCATTAATAAATAATTTAGATATGGGTAGAGCCCAACTTTGGTTTTCCCATCAGTAACATGGCTGCCTTGCAACATATGTAAAAACATGAATATCAGGGTGCAGTGAAGGGAGAGGGGCGCAGAGGGCCCATGACGAGATGGGAGTGCTATCTAGCCCCTACTTAAGTGAGTGGCATTGTGACCCTGTGCACCAGGATGCAATGCCACTCATTCAGATTTGGCCTAGCCAGCCCCCTGTCCTGATGACGGGCTGTCCAGGCCAAAGTTGAGTAAGTGGTGTTGTGGTCCTGGTGCGCAGGGTCGCATTGCCACTCACATTTGGGGCTGCCAGTAATCTGAGCCCCCTCCTGAGCAAAATTCTGGTTGAGCTTTTGAGTGTTAATACCATATACAGTAATACGGAATTCTATAAGTCTCAGCTTTGTGGTTGCATTAATGGCTTTTTGTACGTAATTGATAATTGTAGTGCTTTACAGGTATAGAAATGTTCTTTTCAAGCATTGCAGATGGCACAGCACACCAGAAGCAGGGAAGCTTCAGATGTCTGAGAGCTGAAATGTAAACATTTGTCAATTCCAAGTAGCACAGCATTTCCCAGAACCTGCTGCATTACTGCTTTTAAGCAGCTTAGCCTTGAGGGACTGAGGTCTTAACAGAGCACTGAAACAGTCATTGCCGGGGTGAATACATACCCATCCATCCCAGCCATTATTAGCTAACTGTAGGTCAAAGGCCTCTTGGGTATATCTACACTGCAATAAAAAAATCCACGCCACTGAGTCTCAGAGCTTGGGTCAGTTGACTTGGGCTCACGGGCTGTGGGGCTAAAGATAGCAGTATAGCTGTTCAGGCTGGGGATGGAGCATAGGCTCTGAGACCCTGCAAAGCGGGAGGGTCTCAGAGCCAGGGCCTGAATGTCTCCAGTGAAATTTTAGCCCCACAGCCTGAGCCCCATGGGCCCGAGTCAGCTGACCCAGGTACAGCCACAGGTCTTTTATTGCAGTCTAGATGTACCCAAATGACATTAGGAGTCAGATTTGGTCAACAATGTGGCTGACCCTCTGCAGGACTTTCTATTAATGCTGCTGAGGTTTTGTCACACTTGTTGAGAGCTGTTTCGAGTTTCTGGCTAAATATGCAGGTTAGTCCAAAAATAGTTGAGGAGTATTTATTTACTGCTGTTCACAATCATGTTTGTGGGGAGAAGCTTCATGGGAATATATTTTCATACCTATTCTATAGGAAGCGTATTTCTACTGTTAGAGCATATGTAGCTAATTTTGTGATTAAAGCACTAGGTGCATCATCTTATCAAAGCACTATCAAAACCCAGTGAATAAGCCAGTTGAATAGTTTCAATGAATTTTCTTTGCACAGAGTTTGATGACCCCTCTGCTATGGTGGTGCTAGCCGAAGAAGAGCTGGTGGTAATAGACCTAAAGAGTGCAGGCTGGCCAGCAGTCCATCCTCCGTACCTGGCATCTCTCCACTGCTCAGCCATCACCTGTTCACACCACGTCTCCAATATCCCACTGAAACTGTGGGAGAGGGTGATCAGCGCTGGAAGCAAACAGAACTCTCATTACTCAAATATGGTACGGCAGCTTTAAGCATGCACCCATTCACATGCACATAAGAACATTATAACATACTCAGTAGGTATCTTTTCTGCCTGGCTGGCTGCAGAATGCCAAGTGAAGCACTGTTGTGGTTGGTGGTAGTACTAAGAAGTCCTGCTCCCAAAAGACCACCGACTTAGTGAAGACAACTATTTGGAATTCAAAATACTTAGTTCTCCAGCTTTCAGCAGCTCTTAGTAAAAGTGAGCTCCAGCTCAGATTGTTTCCAGCAGTCAGTGCTAGCAAGCAAAGCTGCTTCTAAACCAGGAGCTGTCAGCCAGAGCAGCTTCTTAAAGAGGAAACTTGAATATAACAACTCCTAACCAAGAAAGTACAACTGATGAGATCAGAACTAGTACATCTAATCTTAATCCAAACAAAGGCTAACAGAATACGCACAGACAGATGCTCTTTCCTTGTAGCTCATGCTTTCCTGTTCTCCTCCCTCTCTATGGCATGCTCTGTTGCACTCTCATTTCACAGTCAGTCATGGTGTGGTCTTCAAGAGTGTTTTCTTTTTAGCCCTGGCTGATAGATGGTGGCACCAACCTGGCTCCAGATCCTCCCCAGAGGGACCTGCTCCTTACAGGGTAAGTGCTTAAACTGATAAAAATCAAGGCTTCCTGCCCAGTATTTACCCATTTTTGAATTGCGTGTGTTCCTGTCATAAGTGTCACATGAATAGACTTGACTCCTGAGCTCTCTTCTGCAGAGAGTAGGTCACCACTTCTTGAAGCTGGACTGCTGATTTTTAAAGCTAGTGACCTATAACGTGTCAGAGCAGTTAAGTTATGACAGGAAGTCACCCTGTCTTTGATCATCGTGAAAAAACTATTGACCCTTCCCAAGATTGACTAATTCCAGTGTTGAAATTTAGACTAACAGTCAAGACAAATTATGCCAGTTCAGCGGGAACAATATATCTGCAGGAGTGTGTCTCACCCTCACCAGTATAAATCAAGAATAACTCTATGGGAGTTTCAGAGTAACAGCCGTGTTAGTCTGTATTCGCAAAAAGAAAAGGAGTACTTGTGGCACCTTAGAGACTAACCAATTTATTTGAGCATGAGCTTTCGTGAGCTACAGCTCACTTCATCGGAAGCTCATGCTCAAATAAATTGGTTAGTCTCTAAGGTGCCACAAGTACTCCTTTTCTTTCTATGGGAGTTGCAGCAGTTTTACATAATTGATACAAATGAGCACAATCAGACCCGTATGGTCTAGACATTTCAGTTTCTGATGTTACACTGGATGCTAGAATGAGATAATTTCCCTGTCCATGTTGTACAAGAAGTCTGCCCCTCTACTGCTTTTCATCTGGAATTTCACAACACTTTTCAAACATCCCTGCCAGGTAATTCTATAGGATTTTCAGTGTCTGGATTCTTGACACAACTAGCTCTTCTTAGAGGTGCAGGGGTGCTGCAGGAAAGATCAAAGTTGCATTAGCAGAGCAGTCACCCATGACTCAGAATGTTGTTGTTGCTACGGGCTAGGAGTAAGGGGATGGAGGTGAACTGAAGGTAATATTCCTTTCCTATTTCTGGCTCTGTCAGTGTTCTTAAATCCTTTTATTTTACAACATCAGCTTCATAAAACCCAGTAGGAGTGCAAACTAAAATTCTCCCTAGGATTCAGGGATGTGTAAAAGGACTGCTTTCACACCTTAGCATGTATGTCTCAGGTTGTGCCTCCTGTCTTTAAAATAGCTGGTCTCTTAGAAGGGGGGATTCTGCTTTCTCTTTCTGTCTCTTTCCCTCCTGCTCTCTCCCCATGCTGCGACAGCTATTAGTGAATGACTTGTTTCTGACTCTTCCCCATCAGGCACGAGGATGGCACTGTGCGGTTTTGGGATGCTTCAGGTGTTTGCTTGCGCCTCCTTTATAAGCTGAGCACTGTGAGGGTCTTCCTCACAGACGCAGATCCCAATGACAACATGAACCCGCTGGGTGAGGATGAATGGCCTCCGCTGCGTAAGGTGAGATGGCAGTCACTCAGGTAAACTTTCTGAACCTAGAGAGTTTGCATTCCTACTGTTGTTGCCTATCCACTTTGCAGCTGCAGTGCTAAGGCCAGCTTGTGTTGATGTGACCTCTTTACATTCCATCCACCAGGTTGGTTCCTTTGACCCTTACAGCGATGACCCCAGGCTCGGGATCCAGAAGATTTACCTGTGTAAATACAGCGGCTATCTGACCGTAGCTGGTACGGCAGGGCAGGTACTGAAACTGTAAAACTGATTTTTTGGTGGTCTGCTTTTAAGAGTGCTTCTTGACTAGCATAGGAAATACAACACAAACTAGAAATGGAGGACAAAATTGATTCCCCTCTGGGGGTGAGTTTTCTTCACTCTGTAAATAGAGCCATTTTGTGGAAGGTCCCCCTATCTGTCAGCTCCTTCTTGTCTATACTGTATTCTCCCCCTTCTGTCTGACTTGACCCTTCAGCCCTGAGGTAGTTGCCAGCTACCTGGGTTTTTATGCTTCAGCTTTTTAAAACTTCCCCCTGATTGTCTCTGCCTGTTGTCTGTACGCCTTCGCTATTTGCATTTTGTGCAGGCACACTGCCTGCTAGCTAGCCAGTTGGATCCTGGTGTTGCTGGTGCCTAATCAGTAAGTGGCACCACCTTGCAACATTCATATAACGGAGAAGCTTGGAGACAATTTAAAGTGGCTGGGTCAGTTCGCAATCCTGCTGACAGGAGGAGGTATTGCTGTGCCTCTGGGGAGCCTTTGGGGACGCAACCGGCCTGAGGCTTTCTCGCTATCTAGTGCAACTGCAGCAGGGGCTGATGGTTCTTTGCCCTCCCTGTTCTCAGAGCTTGATGCTGTTGTAACCCTTTTCTGTGACTGACACCCATGATCCTTACGTATTTCAGCCAAAAAAGGTAAACTACCTCTGCTGTCTCCCTTGTTCCTGTTCCTTGCAAGAGCCTGTGTTATTGCTGTGACAGAAGACCCCATTTTGGTGTCTGTATAATGTTTCCATTAGCCTGTGCTACAATCCTCCTTCCGTGAAGACATAACGTGTCTCCTCTCATGTAAACTGACCATGAGTGCCTGTGCTTTGCTTTGTCCCCCAAGCCCTCTCCTCTTCTTAGGAAGCACTGAATGAGTTAGGATGGTTTGATTTGAAGTAACCAAATTTGGTAGCTAGAATGTCATGCTGCCAACATAATTAATCAAATTAAGAAATTTTTAAAATGGGAGGCAAAAGTTCTCATAGAAACTTTGCCCAATGGGTGTCCGTTTGTCATAGGAGTCAGATGGGGAGGCATGTGGTCATGCTGGAAACAAGTATGCATGTTGAAGCCATCGAGAGATCAGGTGGAGTCTAAAAGCTCTGGGGATTGCACAAAGCCTCTGAGCTTATTCCTGTTCCCTCAGATACTGGTGATGGAACTGAACGATGAAGAGTCAGAGCATGTTGTGGACCACGCTGAAGCAGACTTACTACAGGACCAAGAAGGCTATAAGTGGAAAGGTCACGAGAGGCTAAAGGCCCGAGATGAGCCTGTCCGATTTGAACCTGGCTTCCAACCATTTGTCCTGGTTCAGTGTCAACCACCTGCTGTGGTCACGTCACTGGCCCTTCACTCTGAATGGAAGCTCGTGGCCTTTGGTACCAGCCATGGCTTTGGGCTCTTTGATCACCAGCAGAAACGACTGGTCTTTGTCAAGTAAGTCTCTTCCTTTCTGGCATGATATGGGTACTTCCCTAGATATGGGAGCAGGCTGGCTAGCTCTTCCAGGCAGTCCTAGTAAGAGTTGGTATTTCCTGGTTTATGGAGATCAATGGGTATAGAGAAAAGTCTTCTCCTGCTGGGATGAGTGTCTCTCCTGTGCTTGTTAGTAAGAGTTCACATGCCTAGCTACCAGTTGCTCCCGTACTGCCAGCCAGCTGGTCAGAAAAGCAACTGAGCACACCTGCCAAATCTTTTTTTTGTCTTAGATGTACGTTGCATCCCAGTGACCAGCTGGCCTTGGAAGGCCCTTTGTCTCGGGTGAAGTCCTTGAAGAAATCCCTCCGGCAGTCGTTCAGGCGGATCCGGAGAAGCAGGGTGTCTAGCAGGAAGCGGCGAGCTGGTGGTGGGATCACTGGGGAGGTGAGTCAGTCTGTCTCTAAGGGCTTGTCTATATGGTGGGTAAGCTCACAGTAGCTGGTGCACACTAGCTATTCTGCACTAATTCCCCATGTATACACTCTTGCTGCACACTGAAGTGCCTTTGTGTGTGTTCACTTAATACACTTTGGAGTCGTATTAAGCTAAACTGCCTCAGGGCACCCTTCATGCACAGTAAGTGTGTGCACTTGTGGGGAGTCTGTGTGCAGTAAGCTAGTGTGTGAATTTAAAGCACACTAACTTCCCTGTGTAGACAGGCCCTAAGCCTGAGCCTTGTAAACTCCTGCTTGGACCACACGGTGGGGAGAGCAGGGTAATGCAGTTGTTCTTAATCTTCAGTCTTAGGTCTGGTCTATACTACAGAGTTAAGTCAATGTAAGACCGCTTATTCTGACCTAACTCTGTAAGCGACTACACTAAAATGTATCTCCCACCGTTGTAACTCCTCCACTATACCAACTTTACTCCACCTCCATGAGAGGTGTAGTGCTTAACTCAAAGTAGTTGGGTCAACAGTGTCAGTGTCGTGTCAGTTATATCGACTGTTGCTGCCTTTCAGATACCATCCCAGAATGTCCCACATTAGCAGTTAAATTGGTGCACTCGCTCCTGGTGAGGACATGCACTATGAGCAGAAAGAGCAAAGTATGGACGTGTAAAACCAATTCAATTCTGCGGTGGCTGTACGTCGACATAACTCAGGTCAACTTATTTTTGTAGTGTAGACTTGCCCTTACTGTACAAATTGCAGCTTGACGTAATGGCCTGCACACAGGGCAAGCCTGCAGAATTAAGTTGACTTAACTTAGGTCGGCATATAGCTGCCACAGTAATTGTGCATTCTACACTTAGCTCCTAGTGTTGACAGTGTGCATCCTCACCAGGAGTCCCTGTGTCAATTGTACTGTCAGTACGGGGCGTTGTGGGATAGTTGTTGAAAGCTGGTAACAGTCTATGTAATCAACGCAGTGTCTACACTGATACTGAGTCACCCTAATTACATCGACGTTGACTCTATGCCTCTCATGAAGGTGAAGATAAGTTGGCGTAGCAGGGCAGTTACATCGGCGGGAGCGAAATTTTAGTGTAGACACATACATAGTTAGGTCAACGTAAGCTGCCTTGCATCAACCTAACTCTGTAGTGTATCCGGCCTCAGTCTTGTCACTCCTAACATTGGTAACTATTTACTCCTGGGGGAATTCTGTGCCAAAAAAATTAAAAATTCTGCACACAATATTTTCAAATTCTGTGTATTTTATTTGTCAAAATAACACAGTATAATCACACCAGTTTCAGTTATTTTCAGTCATTTATTTCAAAATACCAGTCAGCAAGTGTTTCTGTAACAATACAGAAAAAAAGATTCAGGAAATGTTTTTTGACAAATAGATTCCTTACTAGGTATATTAGTACAGAACTCTGAGTAATAAATAATTTAAACTACAATATGGAACCATATTTTCTGCACCCCTGAGAAGCAGTGCAATAGCTTGGGGAGGAGTTGGGGGTAATGGAGGAGCTGAGGGAGAGGGAAGTAATTGCTGGGTGTGAACTTGGAGGATTGTTTGGTATGGGTGGGAAAAGTATGGAATAGGTTTTTGGGGGGGGATGGGAAGGGATTGTTAGGAAGCTTCCCCCATGCAGACCCTGGCTAACCCCAGCCTCTCCCATTCAGTCAGGCACATGTGTCCTTGCACCCCCTGTCCCCATGTGTTCCTCCACCCCCACTCAGACACCCTGACCCATCTCTATGTGGTCCTGCACCCCCTCCCACTGTCCCCATGTGTCTCTGAGCCCCCATTCAGTCACCCCCTGTCTCCATGTGGCCCTGCACCTTCACTCCCGCTCAGCCCCTGCCCAAGTCTCTCCTCCTGACTAGCCCTTATGAGCCCATCTGACAACACACACCCCTCTCCCCGCCTGCCCAGCAGCCCCACACTGTCTGTCTCCCGATAGCCCCTGTCTCCTGACCTGGCCTAACAGGCACTGTGAAGAAGACAGGGTCTTTCTCTTCCCTTACTTGCTGGGACATCCTGTTCTGTTCTATCACCACAGCTCTTTCTGGTGGGTGAAAGGTGGAACTGCAGTTTTTTTGCTTATAAAAAAATATGCGTGGCTCATTAATTATGCGCACACACATGGTGCAGAATTCCCCCAGGAGTAACTATTTAGATATAGAACACTTGACTAACTCTGTTTTGGATCTTTATCTGGCAAAACGCTCTGTCCGGAGTTGAAATAAAAATATTAATAAAATACAGAGATTCATCAAGGACCAAAGTTGGGCATTTTCCTTCACTTGCTTGCCACTGCCTTTCTCCTCCCCTACACTATAAAGAGATAGTGTAGGGGAGGAGAAATCTTCCAGGGGAGATTGAGGGAGGCTTTATACCCAAAGTTAAATTCCCCTCTAGAGAGGAAGACTCTCTCTAAAGGTAACTACTTGATGTCTTTGAGAGACAAGGTAACTGAGGTAATCGCTTTTATTGGACCAGTTTCTGTTGGTGAGAGGGACAATCGTTCAAGCTCCACAGAGCTCTTCTTCAGGTCTGGGAAAGATCATCAGTGTCACAGCTAACGCAAGGTGGAACAGATTGTTAAGTACAAGGAGTTAACGTTGCAAGAAACCATTCAAAATGACATGCGCAATTAATACTTCTGCAGTCATAGAACAAAGAGTTAATGCGTTACAGATTGTTGTAATGAGATAGAAAGCCAGGTTCGCTACTGAGTCCATGATTTTTGGTGTCCAGCAGAGTTGTGAATTTAAACTTCCAGGCTTGTCTTTTAAGGTGTTGTGCAGGTTTCCTTTGACAAATTGGACTGAGAGGCCAGATATGGAGTGTTCATTTTGTGAAAAATATTCACTCCCAGATATGATGATGATTTTTGTCTTTTATCCGAGGTCATTCGAGAGCATAGTGATTGTCTTGTTTCACCCACATAGTTGTTGGCGCATTTGATTCACCAGATAAGGTGCACCGCATGCGTAGGCACTGTGGATCTTGAAAGGTGTGTTTTGTGGGGTATTGATCATTATAGCAGTGAATATAAGACTGCAGGTTTTGCATATGTTAGGGCAGTGTCTGGTACTGGTTTGAGTTGGTGTATTCTGGTCTGTGGGGAGCTTGCTTCTGATGCGTCGTTTGAAGGTCAGAAAAGGGGATTTAGAAAGATTTTTTTTTTTTTTAGGATGTGGTCCCCATCAAGTATGAGTGGCAATTATTTGATACCCCATATGGGTTCCAGTATGGGGTGGTATGTGATAACTAGGGATGTGCACTCAGTGGCTTTTTTTTCCCTAAATTGAAGCAGGTGCTCTCAGGGAATTAGGGTTGCCCTGTTCCATGGTGTGATCTACTTCTCTGATAAAGAAGTTTGGTGAGGGTGATTTTAAGTGTCAACATGTATATCCTGGATATTCTCCTCAGAGCATATTCTGTGGTATCTGAGTGCCTGGCTGTAGATGATTGATTTCTTGGCATATCTGGATTGGTTGCTGGATCTGCGAGAGGGTTCTGTTGAAGCCGATAGTGGTGATCAGGAAGTTGATGCTGGTGCGGGTTTGATTGCGGAGTTTGATGGACGGGTGGTGGTAGTTCAAGTTGTGGTGGAAATCTGAGGGAGTTTAGGTCATCTGTCCAGCAGATGAAAATATCATCAATGTATCTCAGGCTTGTCACTGGTTTTGTGGAGCATGGTCCAGAAATTCTTCCTCAAGATGGCCTATGAAGAGGTTGGCATATTGGGGAACCGTCCTAGTACCCATGGCTGTTTGCATGGTTTGGACAAATTGTTTTTTGTTGAAGATAAAGTTGTTATGGGTGAGGATGAAATGGATGAGTCTGGCAATGTGTTTGGGGTGGATATCTGAGTGTTGTCCATTTTCTTCTAGATATTTGAGGCAAACAGTGATGTCGTCATCATGAGGGTCGTTGGTGTATAGGGAAGTGATGTCCGTTGGCCAATATGATGTTCTGAGAGAGCTTGTTGGTGTTGTGGTGTTTGTGGAAGAAGTAGGTTATGTCCTGGAGAAAGCGGGCCCTTTGTGTGGTGAGTGGTTTGAGGATGGTTTCTATGAGTCCTGATATTTCCTGAGTAAGAGCGGCATGGCCAGATATGTTGGGTCTGCCTGGGTTCCCTTGTTTGTGTTTCTTGGGAGGCATGTATAAGATCCCTGGCATGTGTTCATGGGGGATGAGGTGATAGTGTTTCTCTTGGAGTTGTCTGGGGAAGGATTTGATGATATCCTTAAAATCCTATGTGAATTGTGGTGTGGGGTTGTCTTTGAGTTCTTTATGGGAAGTGGTGTCAGGGTCGTCAGTTGGCCTTGTTTATGTAGTTGTCATGGTTGAGGACTATGATGTTATCCCCTTTGTCTGCTGGCTTGGTCACTATTTGGTGGTTGGATTTCAGGGGCTGTATAGCTTGTCTTCTCAATAGAGGTTGGTCCAATAAAACTTCACCAAAGGAAGTTGATCTAATGAGATATTACCTCCCCAAACTGGTTTCTTTCATATCCTGGGACCAATACAGCTACAACAACACAAGCAAAAATGGAAGTCCAGTGCTCCCTCTGCTCAGCCTATTGCACTAGCAAAAGTGGCCAGTGTTGGAGAAATGCAGATTTCTTTGAATATGCAGGAGGGAGTTAAGGAAATGAAAATGTAATTCTCATCTTTCTGTAGGATTCAGGTAGACTGAATAGCCTCTGCACATTCACACTTATGGGATGCACAGGCCTGGGCTGGAACATCCTGCTAGTGTGAATATGCAGAGTCCATTTTGAAGAACTTGGGTTACAAGTAAGTAACCTTAATTTACCAGCATCTGTTAATCCCTACTTGCTGCCTCTCCTATGCTAGAAGGGATTGTTGAGGAGGAAAGAGAAATGTTATGTCTGAGAGAACTTGCCTCATCCCCTCTGTTCTTCATGTGAAGGTGCAAGAGGCGAATTCCAGGTTTGACCAAGATGCATTACAGGAGATGGAACTGGCTCCAATCCAGAGGAAGATCGAAGCGCGGTCCGCAGAAGATTCCTTCACTGGCTTTGTGCGCACCTTGTACTTCGCAGACACCTTTTTGAGAGACAGTGAGTAGAAGGAGCTCGCCGCCGCCACGCTCTGCACTATGTTCGTCTAGATTATAGAGCCAGCACTCCCTTCGTGTACTCCCTGTAGCACTGAAACTATTCAGTCTAGAGCCAAAGTAAATGAGTGAGAGCAGAGCTGTTCTGTATGATCACTACCAGCTGCTGATTGATCCATGACTAAACAGGTTCACCTTCTTGGGGGAGAATTTGAAGTATGTGGTTTTCAAATAGGATGAAGCTTCTTTGGCCTTAAACACCATTCATAGTCTCTTCACCTCTGGCTGCCAAAAGTCAATCCCCTGACGAGGAGAGGATGTGGTTCCTCTTAATCCTGTTGGGGATGCATCAGATACCAAACTGATACTACATTTGAATTTCCCTCTCATCACGTATGTGCTTGGGTTAGTGTGAGCATATACATTTGCATACAGACAGTAGAACCATTCCATCACGTTTGAAAGTTCCTGGAAAGATACCCTGCTCATGGGCTTTATCCCTGGTCCAGGTTCTCGCCACTGCCCCTCCTTGTGGGCAGGCACCAATGGAGGCACAGTCTATGCGTTCTGTTTGCGTGTTCCACCAGCGGAGAGAAGGATGGATGAGCCTGTCAAGGCAGAGCAGGGTGAGTATCACTCACTAGCGGGAACTTGTGAAACAGCCCTAATGGAATCAGAGGGGCTGCTGTTATGTCCTGCTAGAAAGCTGCAAAGCTGTTAGTTATAAATGGAGAGCAACATGACTTGGAAACATTATGGTTGGCCAGGAGGAGAGATCGGATTACGTTTTGACCAATAGTAGCTCGGAGTTCAGCTTTTGATTATACAGTAGAACCTCCGTTATGAACACCTTGGGAATGGAAATTGTTCGTAAGTCTGAACAAAACATTATGGTGGTTCATTCAAAAGTTTACCACTGAACATTGACTTAATACAACTTTGAAACTTTACAATGCAGAAGAAAAATGCTGCTTTCCCTTTTATTTTAGCAGTTTACATGTAACACAGAACTGTGCTGTATTTGCTTTTTTTTTTTTATTTTGATCTCTGCTGCTGCCTGATTGTGTACTTCTGGTTCCAAATGAGGTGTGTGGTTGACCGGTCAGTTCGTAACTCTGAGGTTCTACTGTAAATGGGTTCTACTGTCCCCTGAACCTCTTTAGTTTTCATTCCCATTAAGCTGCTGGTGAAGGCACTGCCCCTATACTCAGCCACTGAACTCTGCCAACAAGACATTTTCTCGCCCCCACCCCTCACTTTCTAGTTTATCATTCTGATGGGGGGCCCGTTATATCCTTTCGCTCCACCATTAATAGTACATGTGTATCGGTTAAAATGAGCCAGTTCTATCCAACACGGCAACAGTGGGAATCTGCTGTCTTGCTCATTTAAAACTCGTTTGACCTTGTGCACTTAGTTAGGAGGCAAAGACCCTACTTTATAGGCCAGAGTCGTCCATGGACTTTGCCTAAAATTATCTCTAAAAGGTGACTCTTTGGAACTTCCATACGCTAAATGTGACTGTTTTGAAAACGACTTTATCACCATTGTGTGCTTTTGCCTGTGGTGCTAATCCAGGAGGTGTTAGTTTGGAGCAAAAGTACATTAGGTGACCAGCATCATTTAATTATTCCTGCTTCAAATACCACTTGCTTGGATGGGTGCGTATCAGTAGTAGTCTCAGACAACATATTGATGGGTGCTTTGGGGAAACCTACAATAACAGCCTAATCCATTTATACATTTCTTAAACCCTTGTCAGCTGGAATTTGGAAACAATGTTTGAATTCAGTTTAAATGCCCATTCTAATTAAACTGGATTCTAAAGCTGTTTGATCACACAGTATGAAAGCAGTTGAATTATTAGACGCATATTGTAGCCTAGGATGGCTTTAACATGGCTGATCAAAATGCTTTAGAAAGTACTCTTGGTAAAGTGTCATTTCTAGAATCATGGCTTTAGGGCAAGCAGTTAACTAACATTTCTACAGATACTGGTGCTGGTGCATAAGCAAAGGAAGCAAACACAAAGAGCCATATAGGGGTCTCTTGTAAAAAAAAAATAAAAATAAAAAAATAAACAATTTGCTAGTTGGAAGACTCAGATTGGGTGTAGAAATGCAGCATTGTCTCATTTCAAGAGGACGTGTGAGAGTTCTAACACTATGCTTGTCACATCCTCTCGGCTGGTATCATATCTGTCTGTTTTCTCACCCTTCTCCACGTCTTGTCTGTCTAGCCAAGGAAATTCAGCTGATGCACAGGGCTCCTGTTGTGGGGATACTTGTCTTGGATGGGCATGGCACTCCCCTCCCAGAGCCGCTAGAAGTAGCACATGACCTTTCTAAAAGTCCTGATATGCAAGGCAGCCATCAACTTCTTGTGGTGTCTGAAGAGCAGTTTAAGGTAAATACAGTCCACATGCATCTCGTCTGATATAAATTCCCCTTTTTAAGGTATTGATCTGTACTCCTAGGGATGGATTACAGTAGCTCCTAGGAACTGCAGTCTAGGATCTGGCTCCCTTGTGCTTGGCACCATACAGACAAATGAAGACTGTCCCTGCCCCACAGAACATAGACTTGGTGTCAGGGCAGAACTGACGCATGAAATGGACAAGTGGAAGTGGGAGTTTAGTATAATGCAGATGGAGAATATAGGAATGTTTGTAGATTGATTTAAAACTCTTTGACAGCTGCAGTAATTGGCCATTGGGAGAAGCTTTAGATTCTGCAGATTATAGTTTAGGGGACATGACTCTTTACAAAGGACACTGAGAATTGGCAAGTGTTCAAAAATTGTTCTCACTGCTTTTGCCAAATAGCTACATAACCAGTAATTGACTGGTTTAAGGAAGGAGACTCTAGGAATAATTTATCGGGGATCTCCTTGTCGTTTTAATGTGGTAGAGTGGGCTGTTGGGTTAATCCCAACTTTTCCCTGTGGATATCCTTTGTGGCTGGAGGGGAAGGGGTTTGAGAGGACAAGAGAGAAATTGTAATGAGGGTCTGCGATTTGAAGCGTTACATTTTCTTCCAGTGATGTCAGTGGCAAAGTTCCCATTGACTTGAATGACAGCAGGAACAGGCCCTGAAGTTGAGACCATGGCTGGCTACACTTATGCCTGTTCAGTATCCCATGATATCCAGGCCTCATTTTAAGCAGGAAGGCAGATTCAGACCTTCATTTCTGTGCATGCTGTTGGGCAAAGGTTCCCTATGAATCCAGGCTTTGTTAAAGCAGGAGGGAGCAGCACCATTCCTGAGCTGGGGTTGTTGGCAGTGTACAGCGTGGAGGTGTATTATGTGGCTTTGTTTCCTCCTGGCAGGTATTCACGCTGCCCAAGGTTAGCTCCAAACTGAAGTTCAAGCTGACCGCTCTGGAAGGCTGTAGGGTACGAAAGGTGACAGTCGCTAACTTTGGCAGCTGCAAGACTGATGATTATAGTGAAAATGACCTGGCCATCCTCACTAACCTGGGAGACATTCAGATCATCTCTCTGCCCTTCCTCAAGTTACAGATCCGCTACCCCTGTATCCGTAAGGAAGATGTGAGTGGCATTGCTTCCTGTGTCTTCACCAAATATGGCCAAGGTAATGGCACAAACAGCATAAGCTCCCCTAGATCACCTGCCTCTGCCATGTCTTCTGAACGCTTGTTTCACTGTTCTTTAAACTTCGCATTGGTTTTGCTTCCATAATGAGCATGTTGAATTCTCTTTGTAGCCATTCAGATCCAAAGACATCAGGGGCTAACTCACCTCACTGTAGAGGGTGGTGTCCGTTGTGTTCCATATTTCTTCTCAGGCCTCAAAATAAGACATCTCTGTATTTTGGCATCTTCCTGGGCTGCTGGATAGCTCTTCCTGAGTCACTGGTGCACAACGCTGTCACTTCAAACTGGCATCTGGGGAGGAGCTCCTCCCAAGCCACTCACTTTCCCCTTCCACATCTCCAAAAGGAAGGGAACTAACCCATAGTATAACTATGGAAAGAGAGGGTGCTGCTCAGACTCTTGTCCTGGGGGTTGTAGCTGAAAACTCTCAAACTGCAGGGTCTCGGACACGTGTCGCACAGCTTTAAAAAGAGAACAAAGCAATCTTCAGTTGTTCAATTACTGGGTTGACCCCTTAATGAGGCAGGTGCAATACTCTTCTCCAAAGCCCAAGTGCATTGGTTTGGAGGAAGTAGAAACAAGATGCCCTTTCTGTGGAGAGTAGAATATATTTAGCTCTCATTTCCCTTTGGACTGTGATTCTGGATTCTGGCTCCTGAGCTTGCATTCTTTTGTGAACGAAACGCCCTTTACGTTTTCCCCTCTAGGTTTTTATCTGATCTCACCATCAGAGTTTGAGAGGTTCTCCCTGTCTACCAAATGGTTGGTTGAGCCCCGATGTGTTGTGGATACACCAGAAATTACAGGCAACAACTACTTGCATAACAAAGCTGGCATGGAGAAGGCTACAAGAAAATCCAGGTAGGACAAGCTAAAACGCTGTCTGTAGGAGCACCTTACCTCTCATTAGCTTTTCCATTATGGCTTGTGTTTGAAGGGTGTTCTACTTCCAAATCTAGTCTCCCTGGTTCAGGGGTGAAAGTAACTTAAAGGATTTACCAGTATGCTGGAGTCCTGAGTGGGGGTGTGGCCTCAACCGGAAGAGGCGGGGTCTTTAAAGATTTAAAGGCCTCGGGGCTGCAGCTCGGAGCACCCCTGGAGCTCCCAGCTGCAGAGGCGGCTGGGAGCCCCAGGGCTCAGGGGCGATTTAAAGGGCCCAGGGCTCCTGCTGCTGCAGGGAGCCCTGGACCGTTTAAATTGTCAGCCTGGGGAAGCTGGTCCGGTCCGGCACGGCATTCTGGACCGTACCGGCTTACTTTCACCTCTGCCCAGGTTTGATCTAGACAGGACGATGCTACTGTGAGTTCTATATGTTCTTGTCTGCCCTCCTCCCCCTCCAAGCTCACTGTGATATATTATCTGGTGAAGCCAGAGAACCTTTTCTTTCCAAAAAGGACTGGACAGGGCTTCCTTTGGAGACTGTTAATATCACTCCAAACTGATTGCCATGATGTAGAGCCCTGTGTGGGACTGTTCTTCAATCCTGCTCCTGCTATTAATGCAACGGGTCCTGTGGGACTAGGAGGATTCCAGTCCTGCTGCATGAGGCAATGTAACTTTCTCCCTGGTCTTTTCCCTACCAGCTGTCTTACATTTCCCACTGCCAACTTACTAAGAGTGACATCTTTTGAGGGCATTGCATGCAACTTCCCACCTCTCCACCCATTTGCACTTTGTCATATTACTTGTTTGCAGTCTATTATATGGCAGACTGGACTGTTGCTTTGTAGCTTGAACCCTGATGTTCTTCCTTGTGGAAGCAGATCTTCCCTAGAGGTGGTGTGTTTTGGTGCAGGTCCCCTGTGGGGGAGGAGGGGTGTTGAAGAAAAATTGAGGAATTTTGGCCACTGGGGAACTTCCCTATCACCCACCATCCTAATGCTTCTCTCAGCTGCTTGCTCAGGATACCTCTCTGCATTCGCATGCATCCTCTGATTGACCCAGAGGAATCTGTCCTTGTCTGATCTGCCAGGTATGTACAAGAATCTACTTGCCCCTCTAATACATGTGTTTTGTTTTGTTTTTTTACCTTCTTCCCCAGGGAATCAGGCAGAAGCTCTGGTGACCCCGGAGAAGATGATGGTAAGCAGGCAACAAACTTATGTATTTAACTTTGTGACATGTATAAACATTTTTTAAGCCTTTGCGGTTGGTGGTCATATTTTCTTCAAAGAAAAGGAGTGAGGAGCTGTAGTGTTGGGAAGAGGGGAGATCGTTCTCTTTGTGAGAAGTAGTCATCTCAGACTAAGGCTACAGGGGCAGAACCTTCTGGTGACCTGGACGTGACAGGTTCAGGTTCTACAACAGGCTGATCTTGGATTGTTTTTAGAAAGGGAAGCCCAGTCGTGCTAGGAAGAAGGGATTGTGGGTGTGAGTGTGGAGTCTTTTACCATTTAATGAGCACTTTGCTGTGATGCCGTCTCTAGAACGAGCCAAACTGGGCTTAAGTATCCACCTCTTTTATATTTGTGACGTTTCCCATAGTGCCTATCCCTGTAGTGTTCTAAGTGCATAGAACATGAAAAGTAGCTGGACGTCAACTTGTTTTCTGTCTTTCAGAGAGGAAGTCTGGGAGGTTGATGGAACATGCCTTACTCAATGATGAAAGTGAGTGAGAGACAACTGGAGCTGCTGGAGGGGCAGCTGCACTGGTTGGTGAGGGGAAGGGGGGTGATAGGTAGCCTTCTCTGGTGGAGGCATGGACTGTTCATCCTCCTGGTTACAGTAGACTGTTGCAACTCCAGAAAGTACATAATGCCAGAACAGAATTATTTATTTGCATTACTGTAGCCCCTAGGAGCACCAGTCATGAACCAGGACCCCATTGGGCTAGGTGCTGGGCAAACACAACAGAAAGATAGTCCCTCTCCCTAAAGATCCGTACCAGCTTTATTTCATGGATTGGTGAGGATGGGAGTGCCCTAAGGAAGGGAGATGAGAAAGCTCCGCATAGCTGCCTACCTGCTTCGATCGTTACCTAGCCTTAATATACACAAGGAACATCACTTTCCAGCAGTACCCAAGAACGAAGGGCCGGCTGGAACTGGCTGTGTTCCTGGACTGCTAGCATGTTGGTGCTGGCAGCACTTCCTCTGGAGACACTGCTTCACTGCTGTGCGCCAGCCCCTTAGCCAGAGTTTTATAGTTCTGTCAGAGACTAGTACTGCAGAAGAGGCAGTGATATTTAAAGGTCTGACAGTCATGGAGGAGGCAGGAAGGCAGGTTTTAAAGGCCATTCTGAAATGAGGTGCAGCAGAAGTAGCATGTGCAATCAAGCTCTTAATGTCACTGTAAATGTTTACTGATTCAAGCAGAGGACCTTGCCCATCTGCTCCCACTTCTCACTGCTCTTTAACGGTTTGCTTTCCAGAAGTTCTGAAGGAGATCCAAAGTACACTGGAGGGGGAGAGAAGGTGAGTACCCTGTGACCAGCCTTCCCTTCTCCCTGGTGGGCTGGTAAAGGTGGGGAAAACGGGGAGACTATCCAGCACAATGCAGATATTGTTGCAGTGAAGCACTAGCAACTGATCAAATGTGTGTGTAGAAAACTGGTCCAAAGAGAAACTTTTTCTACACAAGAACCAATTCCCTTGAGTTTTTATGAATAATCCTTTGTCTCTTTCTCTTGGCAAAACAGAAGCGATCACATTTCCATATCCCAAAGGAGCAGGACTCTGAGTACTCGCATACAGGTTCAAATCAACCCACATTAATCTATGGGCAGGCCACATGGGCTTAGTTGGCTGAAGATGGGACTTGGGACAGGAACTCTAGGGATCTAATCCTGGCTCTGCACTGACTGTAACTTGGACATGTATCTTTCTGCTCCAATTCCCTATCTCTACACATAGGCAATAAGTTACCTCATGGGTGCTGGGCTTTAACTCCTGTCCACAGAACACTTTGAGCTGTTCAGGTGAAGGGCTACAGAAGTGCAGATGAATGACTGATGTTACAATTGATGCAAAATACTTTAGTGCTTGGTGGGATGGGAAACCCAGGGTTTCCAAGGATCTGCGGAGAGGATGAGTGACTGCCTGACACACCTGCATGTATCTATCCAGATAGGGTGATTGCATTGCACTGATGGACTTTGCTCCCTTGTCATTGCAGGAGCTATGGAGAGAGAAATTCAAGAAGAATTCACGTAGGACATGGACTAAGTAATGGAGGAGGTAAGTGAAGCCCAGGGTATTTCCAGGCTCTGGTGCAGCAACATGAGGCAAGAAGTGAAGGGTCGGCATTCCTAACAATCTGGTGTTTTATGTTTACATGGCACTCCGGAGTGCGGTGCTCTTCAGCAGTAGCTCTCAACCAGGAGTACATGTACCCCAGGGGGTACACAGAGCTCTTACAGGGGGTACATCAACTCCTCTAGATATTGGCCTAGTTTTATAACCAGTACATAAAAAGCACTAGCAAAGTCAGTACAAACTAAAATTTCATACAGACACTGACTTGTTTATACTACTCTGTATACTATACACTGAAATGTAAGTCCACGATTTATATTCCAGTTGATTTATTTTATAATTATATGGTAGCAATGAGAAAGTCAGCAATTTTTCAATAGTATTGTGCAGTGACACTTGTAAATTTGTCTGATTTTTTGTAAGCAAATAAAGTGAGGTGAAACTTGAGGTACACGTGACAAATCAGACTCCTGGAAGGGAACAGTTGTTTGGAAAGGTTGAGAGTCACTGCTCTACAGATCACCTCATCTGACTGGATGGGAGCCTACTGGCTGCCTGATATGTCTCAGTGTTTGAGCAGCCTGGGTGCCACCTGAACAAACAAGTGCTGCCCCAGTCCTGGATGGAGTGACACAAGCGCCTCCTAAAACCCGTCTGGCATTTTAAGCTGTTGAAATTTGCTGTGGGTTCCTTTGGGGAGAGCTGCTGGCAGAGAAGGGCTCTGGGAGCATTGGGGCATGTAGAACTCCTTTGTATGCCACTCCCCTCCCTCTTCCTATCCTCTTCACCTCTTTGTAACAAACCATGAGCAGGCTAAGCTATGGCAGGCCTACACTATAGCATAGCTGCTTGTGCTGCATTCAGCACGGCCGGGGGAAAAAACACCTTACAGGGTATGTACGTCTAGCCTGAGGGATAAACCAACTTGTCTGAAGTGGATGTGCAGGCTGCCTGTCTTCTCTAAGGGAGTGTCTGGCAGCCAGGGCATAAGGCCTGTTACTGGGGTTTCCATAGGGATGTGAGTTGATCTTGTGAGCATTGATGTGAACCCCAGACCAAAGATCAGACTGGGATGAGCTCCACAAACTTTATACCCAATATGTTCCTGAATTGGGAGGGGGTTGGAGGTGTGGAGGAGTTATCTGTCCAGAATGATCCTAATATGGTGCTGCATATTCTTTCCCTAAGCAGAATGATCAGACCTCAGCAAAGCTGCTGTGACATCCTGGCATTGGATTGAGTGCCATAACACTACTGACTGGGAAAGCAGTCCCATGGAGAGGAGGCCTCTACTTCTCCCTGTACAGCAGGAGAGAGAGCTGTGACTCACTCGTGTGTCTGCGTCCCACTCCCCCTCGTGCCTCACCAGAAACCACCTTCTCCTCCTCGAGTCTTGCACGGAGGCCAGAAGCAGACTGCCTGCTCTGAAGCACCACAAGCCTCTGTGTACGTCTTTGTAACTATTTTTAATGTTTGCACAATTATCTCTTTTCTACTGGGCTGGGTTTTAAATTATAAATGTTACTGCCCTGGGTGCAGAGTTTTAATAAACACACTGTTACCTCTGAGTAGTTTAAGATTATTTTTTGTACAATTTTTTAAATTGTAAGGGTGTTTGTTTTAATGGAAACATATTTTTAAAATGTACTTTTTTTTTAAGAAAACAAAACAAATGAAATAATATATCTGTCGTTTTAGATCCCTGTGGCTGCTGTAACTGGTATTGGAATGAGGCATTCCAGTTAGGGTTTGTTTGACGGTACTGTTAACTGGTTTTACGGATTTGGGTAGAATCTATTTTTGTAGCTGTTCAGATTAGAGGAAATTTAATCGAACTTGATTTGTGTCTCAACACTACGTTGCTCTTTTTGAAATAAATGAAAACCCTCAATTACCTTTGTTGTCATGGTCTGCTCCAGTATCTGTCACTTCCGCAAAAGCAGGGACTCATTCCTCTGCATGATAGAAGCAGTGCAGCTTCAGGCGTCGGGACTCTCACCAGCATCTGCTGAGAAACTGACATGAAAAGCCAGTGTTGCTAAAGAACCAATTCTAATCAGTGCATGTGTCCGATCAGCGAGAGGAGCTGTTAGCCTTCACCGTCACACTTGCCTCCTTTATCTACAGATTGCAGGGGCTTATGAATCCACCCCTAGAAATCTGATCTAGAAGCACTTCTAACACTATCCCATGGTAATTCATAGCATAATTAGAAAATCCTGGGGACCATCCTGTGCTAGTACTAAAAACTAGCTTGGGCACGGGGCGGGGGGGAGGGCGAGGGAAGAGGCTGTACAGTACATCGAACCAGCTGTGAGCCTTACGGAAAAGCTTTGAGTAGGAGAAACCCTTTTGTGAGAAATCTTTCCCTTCCTCTCCATCCCAAATCATGTGTTATCAAGCTAAAATTGATCTCCTGTTTTCATTACTAGTCTGTTAATCTCTTCCCCACTCCATTTCTGTTGGAGGGTGGGTGTTAGTAAGGAAGAGGTGAATGTGTTGATCTGCTGTTCCAAATCTACTCAAAAGACCTATGAAGGAGAAGCTGGACTTGTTTAGACTTCCTGGTACTGGGAGCTGCACAGCACCTGTGTTTGAAGCAGTAACTCAGCTTTTTCAAGTGTTTGTTCTTGTCCACTCGTGTTAGGGGTGTGTGCCTGCCACATGCACCAGTGCCGGAAGTTTTTCCTTCAGTGGTATCCATAGAGGACCAGCTCTGGCACCCTCTGGAGTGGCGTGTGTATGCCACAGTATAAGCGGCATTGCCGGTTCCCCCCACCCTCAGTTCCTTCTTACCAATGGTGATGGTGCTGGAACATCCTTTGCTTTGGCAAACCTCCCTGTCCAGAACTGTTCATTGCGAACTTTTTCTCCTGTAAATAGTTATTAAAGTTGTTAGTTTCCTTAGTGTGTTACCTAGTTGGACTGCTTGTCCTCTTTCCTCCTTCCCTGAACCTCTATAACTGCGGACCAATAGGTCCTCAGTACTGTGGCTCAGGATTATATCCTCCAGTTTATTTCTGCTCCCTCCCTCCCCGTCCCTCTTCAGGGACCCCTCTCATGAGAGCCTGTTTTGGCAGGCGGTGCAGGCAAGAGCCATGGAGGAAGTCCCTCTACACCACAGGGGCTAGGGGGTTTTCTCCCATTAATCTCAGATCCCAAAGGCGGTATAAGACCCATACTGGACCTGCAAGACCAACAAATATCTCAAGAAGTTGAAGTTCCACATGGTCTCCCTGGCCTCCATCATTCCATCCCTGGACCCAGGAGACTGGTATGCTGCCCTTGACCTGAAGGACTCCTATTTCCACATAGAGCTATTTCATGGACACAGACGCTTTCTCCATGTCATGGTGGGCTACCAGTTTGTGGGGCTGTTGTTTGGGCTGGCGACAGCACTGAGGGTGTTTACCAAATGCATGTCAGTGGTAACAGCTTACCTCAGATGTCACGATATTCAGATTTATCTGTATCTCGATGACTGGCTGGTCAAGGGCCACTCCAGGACCCAGGTCCAGTGTGATGTCGCAGTACTGGAAGCCACATGCCACCCCTTGGGCCTGTTGATAAATGAGATTAAAATCGGTGTTCGTTCTGGTGCAGAGTACAGAGTTCATCGGAGCCATGCACAACTCCACCTGTGCCAGAGCCTTCCTGCCACAAGACTGAACATAACAGCCATACTGGGTCAGACCAAAGGTCCATTCAGCCCAGTATCCTGTCTGCCGACAGTGGCCAATGCCAGGTGCCCCAGCGGGAGTGAACCTAACAGGTAATGATCAAGTGATCTCTCTCCTGCCATCCATCTCTACCCTCTGACAGAGGCTAGCGACACCATTCCTTACCCATCCTGGCTATTAGTCATTAATGGACTTAACCTCCATGAATTTATCTAGTTCTCTTTTAAACCCTGTTATAGTCCTAGCCTTCACAACCTCCTCAGGCAAGGAGTTCCACAGGTTGACTGTGCGCTGTGTGAAGAACTTTTCAGTTCAATGGTGCCCATTAATTTCATTTGGTGGCCCCTAGTTCTTTAGATTATGGGAACAAGTAAATAACTTTTTCCTTATTCACTTTCTCCACACTACTCATAATTTTATATACCTCTATCATATCTCCACTTAGTCTCCTCTTTTCCAAGCTGAAAAGTCCTAACCTCTTTAATCTCTCCTCATATGGGACCCGTTCCAAACCCCTAATCACTTTTGTTGCCCTTCTCTGAACCTGCCCAATCACTTAGTTTTGTGAGATCTTTTTGAATTTCTTCACAGTCTGCTTTGGTTTTAATTATCTTGAGCAGTTTAGTATTGTCTGCAAACTTTGCCACCTCACTGTTTACCCCTTTCTCCAGATCATTTATGAATAAATTGAATAGGATTGGTCCTAGGACTGACCCTTGGAGAACACCACTAGTTACCCCTCTCTGAATAAATTTAGCATGTATTCCTACCCTTTGTTCCCTGTCCATTAACCAGTTCTCAATCTGTGAAAGGATCTTGCCTCTTATCCCATGACAATTTAATTTATGTAAGAGCCTTTGGTGAGGGACCTTGTCAAAGGCTTTCTGGAAATCTAAGTACACTATGTCCACTGGATCCCTCTTGTCCACATGTTTGTTGACCTCTTCAAAAAACCCTAATAGATTAGTAAGACATGATTCCCCTTTACAGAAACCATGTTGACTTTTGACCAACAATTTATGTTCATGTGTCTGACAATTTTATTCTTTACTATTGTTTCAGCTAATTTGCCTGATACTGATGTTAGACTTACTGGTCTGTAATTGCTGGGATCACCTCTAGAGCCCTTTTTAAATATTGGCGTTACATTAGCTATCTTCCAGTCATTGGGTACAGAAGCTGATTTAAAGGACAGGTTACAAACCATAGTTAATAGTTCTGCAATTTCACATTTGAGTTCTTTCAGAGCTCTTGGGTGAATGCGATCTGGTCCCGGTGACTTGTTACTGTTAAGTTTATCAATTAATTCCAAAATCTCCTCTAATGACACTTCAATCTGTGACAATTCCTCAGATTTGTCACCTACAAAGGACGGCTCAGGTTTGGGAATCTCCCTAACTTCCTCAGCCATGAAGACTGAAGTAAAGAATTCATTTAGTTTCTCTGCAATGACTTTATCATCTTCAAGTGCTCCTTTTTTATCTCAATAGTCTTAGAGTACCGCTCGACAATCCCTGCCCCTTGGCCTCTGATTTCGGATGCCTCCGATCTCGGCTGTGAGGAGCACCTCAGCAAGATGCAGACCCAAGGGATGTGGTCCCCAGAGAAGCTGGGGTTGCACATAAATGTCAAGGAGCTCAAGGCAGTTCAATTAGTCTTCCTGCCACATCTGACTGGTAGAGTGGTGTGGATGCTGATGGACAACACGGCCTCGATTTTCTACGTCAACAAGCAAGGGGGAGCATGCTCGTTGGCTCTCTGTCAAGAAGCACTCCAACTGTGGGACTTCTGCATCCATCATTTGATTCACCTGGAGGTTGCCCAGCTCTCCAGCGTAAGGAATACGCTGGCAGATCGTCTCAGCAAGTCCTTTTTCTCTCACCATGAGTGGTCGCTCTATCCGGGGGTGGTCCAGATGGTCTTCCAGAGGTTGGGATGTCCCTGAGTGGACTTGTTCACCACCAGATAGAACAGGAAATGTCATCAGTTCAGCTCCCTGCAGGGTCTCGGCAAGGGCACCCTCTCTGACCCCTTTCTCCTGCCGTGTTTGGGGGATCTGATGTATGCATTCCCACCAATTCCACTGATCAGCAGGGTCCTGTCAAAGGTCAAGAGAGACAGAGCATAAGTCATCATGATCGCCCCAGTGTGGCCACACCAGCATTGGTTCAGCATGCTGATGGACCTGGCAGTAGCTGCCCTGTGGTTGCTACCCAGTTGCCTAGACCTTTCTTAGGATCACAGCAGTCTCATGCACCCAAACCTCGCCTCTCTCCACCTCACGGCATGGATGTTACGTGGCTGAACCCAGAGGAATGGACCTGCTCTAGTGAGGTACAGCAGGCTCTCCTGGAGAGTAGAAAACCTTCCACTAGAGCAGGGGTCTCAAACTCAATTTACCTTAGGGCCAGCCCCAGTCCTCTGGGAAGGAGTTTTGGGGATGGGGGTATGTGGGGATGGGGTGCAGGCTCTGGGAGGGGGTCGGTGGATGCAATGCTTACCTGGGGCTCCAAGGCCGGGGGGCTCCATGGGCCACTGCCCCCAGGCACCGCCCCCCTGTCCCGGGCCCGCAGGGAAGGACGCCACTCAGCTCCGCTGTGCTGCTGGGCCCCCTGCGGGGGGGAGCACTTGGGGGGAGCAGGTGGGGCCAAGGGAGAGAGCCAGCCTCATTGGAGGCTGGAGCCCCGTGGGCCACATTGGGGAGGTTTGCAGGCTGCAGATGGCCTGCGGGCGCGAGTTTGAGACCCTGCACTAAAGCAACTTACCTGGCGAAGTGGACGAGGTTCTCCCACTGGGCAGCAGAACGTAGCATCTCCCCGATGCGTTCATCCCTGCAGTCCATCCTAGACTATCTGCCCCACCTGAAGAACCAGGGCTTAGCTCTCTTCCATCAAGGTTCATCTAGTGGCCATCTTGGCCTGTCACTCACGTATCATGGGAAAATCGGTGTTCTTGCATGAGATGTCTGTCAGCTTCCTGAATGGCCTCAAGAGTCTTTTCCCACCGGTTTGGAACCCGGTCCCACAATGGGACCTCAATCTGGTCCTCGCCCAGACTTACAGGCCCACCCTTTGAGCCTATGGGCTCTTGTTCCCTTTCTTACTTGTCATGGAAAGTCGCCTTCCTTGTAGCAATTACATTGGCAAGGCAAGTGTTAGCTGAAAGCCCGGACCTTGGAGCTGCCATATACCATGTTCTACAAGGACAAGGTACAG